GCCCGCCCGGCCGGACCCCCGCCCTGCCCGCCGCCCTCCCGCGGGCACCGCGCCGCCCTCCCGCCCCCTCCGAGCCGCAGCGCCGCTCCTCCCCGGAGACGCCCGCCCGCTCGCCTTGACCGCCCCCGAGCCGCACCGCGATGCCGAGCCGCCTCCCGCGTCCGCTCCTCAGCCCGGCGGAGCCGCCGCCTCCGCCTCCTCCTCCGCCCGCCGCCGCCGCCCGACTGAGAGCCGCGGGGCGGGGCGGGGCAGCGCGGCCGCGGGGCCACGCCCCCACCGGGGCCACGCCCCCTGCGGGACACGGCCCCTCCGCGCAGGCACCGCCCACTCCCGCCTCTCGGGGGGGCGGGGCAGCAGGGTGAGTGGCGGCCCGCCCGGCCAATGGCGGCACGGCGATCGCCGCCACGCGCGGTCGCGCGCTCTCAGGCTCCGCCCCACCGCCCCTCGGCGGAGAGGGAGGGGTAGGGAGGTCATGGGGGACCTTTGTGAGGGGCAGGTCACGTCCTTCCTGAGGGGCCGGCGTGTCCCTCCTGAGGGACCAGGCATGTCCCCCTCTCAGGGACCGGTCGTGTCATCTTTGAGGGACCAGCCGTGTTATCCCTGAGGGACCAGGCATGTCCCCCTCTCAGGGACCGGTCGTGTCCCCCCTGAGGTATCGATCACGTCCTCCCTCAGGAACCGGTCATGTCCCCCCTGAGGGACCGGCCGTGTGTCCCTAAGCGATCAGAGCCTGGTGTCCTCAGAAGCAACCCTGAGGAGAACCAGTAGACCCATAGGAAAACAACCACTTCCCCTCATTTTGTCACACCGACTCGCTGCGGCTGTTGTGAGAAAAGGACGGTGACAAAAGCCCCTGGCTAGAGACCGCGAAGCAAAACCCTCGCTAAAAATCACACTACAACAAGACACCCAGAGCAGCAGCTTGAAATCGTAGGTTCTCCCCGTTGCACTCAAAGTAAAGACCATTTGGGGTTGCTGCACTGTGTGGTGTAAGGTTTGTACCTCGGCTGTTCTAAGAGGTCACAGCAGGGTGAGCACTTTTCAGCACACACCTGGATGCTCACAGGTAACACCACACTGGGAATCATTTGGTGCCTCAGGGAGCCTGAAGAGCGAATGAACAACCAAGAGCAGAGCCCATATCCCTCGGTGTTACCATACATGGCCAAAACCAAAACTCCTTGAGCTTCCTCATACGTTTTGGCCAATGTTTGCGCATTCATTTGCATGCGGTTTGGTACTTAAGGGGGGGGTGATGGTTCAGGGCAGTGACACCCCGCTAATTCCTTCAGAATTTGGAGGAATACGTCATGAGGAGATGAGATGAGCTGAGAACCCTCCTCTTCCCCCATGAAGCTGTGCCAGGACCATTAACTACCTCCAGTAAAATCTAGGTGTTAAAACACTTCAAAAACCTCCAGGAGATACATTTGTCTCGGTCTTGCTGGTGACTGTCACAGCTGATGGAAACATCAGTAGCTACAGATTAAACAAATGTTATCCAACATATGTTAAACTTTGACACTAGTTAAACCATTGATTCAATAAGCAGGAAAGCCTCTCTTACCTACTGAGCAATACCTTGATAATAAAATGATACACCCAGAGATTAGAGTGGCAACGCTGCATCCCTGCCCACGGCACCGTAAAATTAATTAATAGCTTCCTTCTGAACGCCAGCCCAGCACACTGACACCACCCTCCTTCCTCAAACAATCGTGTTCAAGCTAAAAAAGAAGAAAACAAAAGCAGTTTGGCAGCCTGGGAGCAGAGCTGCAGGTAACCCAGAGTCAGTGGGTTTGGGGTGTGATTCACATTTTCCACGTAAGTACGTGACGCGCTGAGTCAGTGATTGAGCTGAGAGCCCTGGCTGCCCATCCTTCATTTATTAGGAGCCTCAAACCTGTGTGTGTGTGGCTTGAAATTTTTTAAAAGTTATATTTTAATCACGTACCAGGCAATGCTTTACCCTGGACTAGAAAACAAGAGCCAGGGCAGCAGCACTCAGCACCACCCAACAGCTCAAAAGAGGAACTGAAGGAAGACTTTTGGCCTCCAGCTAAAAAGAAAGTGGCACAAAGTGAAATTTGCTCTGAGAAATCTGATTGAAGCCTAATCCTCTCAACAACTGCCACTGCCATGGTGGATCCTGCAGGGATGGACAATCCTTGCTCGACACGGTGCTGGAAGAGTCGCTAAGGATGGACTCAGGTGGAAATGATCCCTGTGGAATTTTTGCTACAGCTTCCTAAAACACCGGGATGGAAATGCTGCAAAGATCACCCAGACTCTTGCCTGGATTAATGAGCTATTTAGATCACAACTGTACTAGGTACATGAATTTTGGGCTGAAATCTCCAACAAACAGAAGCAACAGCTCAGGTTTTACACAAACGCTTTGATTCCACTGTAACCACTAATCTTCTTCACTTCAGCTGAATAAAACCATTCTAACAAACAGCTTAAATGATGTCTAGAATGCTGCAAGCCCAACGACTTGTCAAAATATGCCACAAATCCTAATTTTTCTGAAGGAAAATACCCTATTACCAAATTTTGCAGCTCCAAGGAGCCACAAAGCAAGGTTTATCCCATTTTATCTGTACCAACACGCCTGGTTATTACATTTTAAAGACTCCATTTCCCCAGTTTTAGCCATCCCACATATTTTCCCCTCGGCTCCAGCACTGCAGGATTGCTGCAAAGTATCTCACAGCCTTTATACGGAAACAGCACCGTGGCTACAGACTCCACCTCTGAAACTTATGTCAGCGGCTAAATTTAGCTTCCTGCAAATATGCATCAATTCCATCTCTGCAGGAAATCACCCTGGTTTGCTCCTGATGTGTTTTATAAGGACCACATTTGGTGTGTCCCACAGCCCCCCTTGCCAGGGTGCTGTTTGGAGTCAGAAAAGGGAAAGAAACACCTGAAGCATCTCTTTTTAGGAGAAATTTTGATGCCTTCAGCTGGTACCCTGCAATTTGGAACCTCCGAGCAACCCCAGATGGGCATCAAACCCCGTCAGTGGAAGCAGTAAAGTCATTTGAGGGATGAATTTATCCTGCATGTCTCAGTTTGCTGAAATCCTCATCGCTAAATATATTCTGAATGGAGGGAAATGGCTTAGGGAGGGTTTAGGGAGATCAGCACTTTAAAGTCCTGTTATTTTGCAGCTTAACTTGTAAGTCACGCAAAATATGCCAGACAGGACAGTTTGGACCTGGTTTCCAAATTATACAGCTTTTCAAGGAGTTTTATGTCCCTATTTATCTATTTCCTGAAGCCTTTTGAATTTATTATTACATTTACTTTATTGTAATATTTGTTCAACAGGAAGCACTAGGTTCTCCCACCTGAAATTTGAATATTTCTTTTATATTTCTCTTTCACATCTCCTACCATTTAGGGATCTCATCCCATCATTAGGTACTCAAGGCCAGACTCAGCAGCATTAGGAAGAGCTGCTCCCACTGAAATCAGTAATGTGATCTTACCTTTCATTTAATATTACTGGAATTTAGTGCTTTTTAATGCAGGGATGTGTTCCCTGCCCATGGCAGGGAGTTGGAATGAGATGATCTTTAAGGTGCCTTCCAACCCAACCCATTCTGGGATTCTATGAAGTCCGAACTGATTGCAATGACAAACCCACCCCAAGCCATTCTCCCTGTGTGGAATTAGATTTACTTTTAGCATTAATTTGCTTTTTCTGTCTCTTCTCCTCAGTGTCCCTGGGCACGGAGGGAGTTCCAGGGGCAGCTTTATGAAACCAGTCCCAATCCTGGTTTTTAAAAGACATTTCAAAGATCATCAACTGTTGAGCGGCTGCCAAGATGAATTTGTCCTAAGAGCCACCATGGAACAGCTCCTGATAATGGCAAATCGATTCCGTCTCGACAACGGGATCTGCCCAAGGAAGTACCTCCCAGCTCCTGCAAAGTGTTTGTCTGGAGAGAGAGAGAGAGAGAGAGAGAGAGAGAATGCAAAATCCCTTTGGATTGGCCTTATTCAGTCCTTGGCCAGAAAGGGGAGCTGTAGAATTAGGGAATGAAGATAAGGAGAACAAAATGTTCCAGCAGATATTTTAAAACAACAGGCAGGGAGGGAGAAGTGAAGGAGAGAGTGAATCTGAGCTCGTGGGCAAGGAGAGAGGAAAACCTGGATTAAAGCAGAGGGTCAGGAGCCAGCACCCCCGAGCTTTATTCCCAGCTCTGCGTGACATGGAACCACCACTGAGCTACTTCCAGACCCCAAAGCTGGGGTCAATTCCCAAACCCCCTCCCCAAAGGGTGATAAAATCTCCTGTGGTGAGTGAGGGCCTGTGCTGACATTGTGTCTGTGCTGCTTGGAATGGCTGGGAGATGCTGGAGATGGATAAGGAATGAGTGAACATTAGGCCAGGATGGGCATTAATAATTTATGCCATTGTTATTAATGATTTACAATAGATTTCATCAAGCACATCTATTACTGCATCTACCCACTCTCACACATTTTGTGCAGTAATATCGATGTCAAACACATCCCTCCCAACTCAGCTGTAGGAAAGGCACCCAAAAGAGTGCTTTTACAGCAGAAAGAAACCTCTAATTTCAATTTCTATTTCCTCGTGTATTTTTCTCCATCATTAGACAGGATTGTAAAATATATTTTCATTTCTTTCCTATTTTTGCAGTGAAGGGGAGGTAAGTCCCAGAACCTAATTAAAATGTTGGGCCACCAAATAAAACCAAAGCAATTACTTGCAACAGATGGGATTTCCTTTGTTGCTGTCTCTGGATGATTAACGAGGAGGAGAGAGACAAGAAAGCAGAACACAAAAAGCGGGAAAAAAAAGAGAAAGGGAAAAAAAAAGCAAACTGTATTTTATTTACAACATGAAAATCCTGGGATTGACACTTCCTAGCATCCTGAAATCCTGAATAGCAGCAAAAAATCAGGCAGGCAGGGAAGGAGCCGGGGCTGGGTGCTGGTTTTCCTGGGCACTGAGCACAGACCTCATTATTTAACCACTTTGGAATCCTTTTGCCATCTCCTTCTGTTTCTCTCCCTGCTGTCTAGGATCAAGTTGGACCAAAGGTGCTGGAAAAATCAGAGATATAAGAAAGGAATCATGTAAGGGTAAATACAGGCGAGGTGTTTGTGTTTGAGATTTGGGAAGACAAATGTTTTAAACAGCTTTTCAAAACCCCAGCAGGCTGTCATGGACAGAGCAAAATGAGAAGCCGTTCCTGCTCTTCTTCCTGCTCCAGTGGAAGGTGTCCCTGCCCATGTCAGGGGGTGGAACAAGATGAGCCTTTAGGTCCCTCCCAACCTGAAACATTCTGGGATTCCATGATTTTTTATTGCAATATTTTCACAGTTCAGCACTGAAATATTGTCTCAGCCCTCCATCCTTATTTCTTCTGGAGAACAAGGAGGTGCCAGGAGGGATTTACTGCAGCCAGTATTGCCCTGGGGACAGAGCTGATTCCTTATATCCCTTCTCATCCCCTTCTTCTGCCAAACCACCCATTACATCCATTGCATCCACCTGCTCCTTCCATTCCTGGGAAGGATGGGCTGATCAAACATCCCTGTGTGGCTGATGGGAACACTCCAGATCAGCTGTACCACTGATATCGGACAATTCCCACCCAGGAGCAGCAGAGATCCAGACACTGGGATAACACCAACCCCATCCCTGCTCCATTCTCAGGGCCTGGCACAGCCAGTCTGTAGTGACAAACAGCTCTCAACCCTATTTCTTTACATTGGGAGAATGACAGCGTGTCCTCAGCTGCCTCCTGGGGGGACAGGACCTGTTTGTCATCCCTGCAGGGATTCTGTTATCCCTGACACACAAACTGTGGCACGTCCCTGCTCCGCCTCAGTGTCGCGACAGCAACCGACAGCACAACGTGCCTGGTGCTGTGGGATAATCACACCTATTTTTTTAAGCAAACACACGACTCAGTTCAAAGCCACCATAGATTTCCTGTGCCTTAAAACACTTATTTTCCCTTATAAGGAAATGCACAATTGCAGATTGTCACTGAACAGAAGATGTTGAGTTAAGCAGCGTGGGTCGGGTGGCTCCTTGCAGGATCCACTCTCTCACACAAACACTCATTTCTGTCCTTCTCTATTTCTGCAGAACTGCTGTTTTACCAGGAAAATTTCAACAAAGTTCACTTATCTGTATTTTTTCAGTGAAAGGCTTTCCAAGTTGATGTCATTCTCCTGAAAGGCTTATTCAGTGAAGTCACAGTGCAGGAGAAAAAGAACTTAAGGAAAATAATGCTTCTTTTTAATGCCACAGCTAAAATAAAATTATACTGGCTCACCCAGTGCCTGGAGAGACAGAGGCACATAATCCCACATGGCAGTGGGAGGGAGCATCCTATGGGCACTGCTGCACTGTGGCTGTTGAAAAAGCAGTATATTGTATTTATTCCTATACAGGAGAGTCTGACAAAGCAAATCTTTCTCCAAAACAATGTCACTGCACAAAGTGCTTTGAACCAACACCTGAATTCCATCCTGTCTCGTTACAAGATTCCATGTGCCCTGAGCACATCCCATCTGTCACTTGGCCATTTCAGGCAGGTATTTTCCAACCACCTCCGTGCTCCCACCTCCCCTCCTCTCCATCCCCGGTGGGACCCCCAGGGCAGAGCCAGGAGCCCTCACTCCTCACCTTTCTTGGGTGCTGGTGGTGCCGCTGCCCCCTCTGACGCCTTGGGCTTTTCGAAGGTTTTCTTGGCGTCGGCGACTGTCAGCACGTTCTCATCCTCCTGACTCTTCCTCCCCTTCCGCTCCGGCTCCTCCAAGCCCCCTCCTCCCGCAGTCCTGCCCCCAGGGAGCTGCTCTGTGCCTGCTGCCCGCTGCTCCTTGCCAGGCTTGGCCTCATCTCCGCAGGGCTCCAGCAGTGCCTCTGTCAGCGCCACAGCCTTGCTCATACTCAGAGCCAGGCTCTCCTTGCTGTGGGTCCTGACCGGAGGGGCCGGGGGGGTTCTTTTCTGGATGTAGGAATCGAGCATCCCTGTGTCAGCTTCCCCTCCAAGCTGCTCCCAGCTCTCCGGGAGCTGGCTGCTGCTCTGTCTCGAAAGCCTCCCAGTGTCCCTGGCCACTGAGGGATAATTTGTGACCGCAGAGACCATTCTCTCCGGGCTCTTCGCTACCTGCTTGTCTGGCTCATGCTTCCTGGCTGGACCCTCCTCGCCGGCCTGGCCATTCTGGCACAGGTCTGGTGTTCCCTCAGGCTGGGGGGAGAAGCTCTGTGCTGGCCTGAGGCTCTCGGCTGCCTTGCTGTCCCTAGGGATGTAGGAGAGAGATGTTGCTGCCTCATGTTTGCTTTGCAGGATGTAATCCATGAGCTCAATGCTGTCGGACCTGACGGGGACTGTGGGCTTGTTCCTCTCCGAGGGGCAGTTCAGGCTCAGTTTGTTCACTTGCCTGCTCTCCACGCTGCTCTCCGAGTCCGAACAGCTCATCTGCCTCCTCAGGACCCCTTGGAAAGAGTTGAGCCTGTTCAGGCTTGGACTCGTCACCTTCCCATCCCCTGCATAGTCCTCCTGAATCTCAAGCACCGTGTCCTCTGTCTCTTCCCATTCCTCCTCAGGTTCTTCTTCTGCCTCCTGGATGAGGCGCCGGTACTCGCTCTCCTCCAGCCTGTAAACCACCGGCCTCACCGTCCTGCCCGTGCGCCTGGGCCCCACCTCCATCTCGTACACCTTCGGAGGGGCTTCTCCGTCCTCCCCTCTCCTGCACCCTTTGGGCACGGGATGCTCTTCCAGGCACAGGTCCCCTGCCAACCCCCGCTGCCCTCTCTGCCCGTTGCTGCTCATCTCTGACCTCCTGGCAGGGGCCCTGGTGTCACTCCCGAGGTGGGGGAGGTCCCCCCTCTCCAGCCTGTTCCCCAGGCCCTCCTGGCCGAGCTGCCGCCGTGTACAGTCCTCACGTGTTCCCACGGAGTCTCCCTGGGAAGCAGCGCAGTCTCTCCCCCTCTTCTTACTTGTGTCATCCCGTAAATATCCACAGTACTGCCAGGTGGAGGCTTCCATGGCCGGCAGCTCCGTCACTGTAATTCCTGGTTCCAAATGCTTTGAGAGTGGCCAGCCAAGATTTCTCCCCACCTTGGGTCTGGGCAGGCTGTCAGCACCGCCTTCTCCTTGCTCCGCTAAGGGAGAGAGACGGGGGCAGTTGGAAGCATCGGAGCCTGGGTCATGTGAACCGGCGTTCCTTGGCCTCATGGCCAGGAGAGGAACATCCCGTTGGCACAACGGAGCGCGACAGCGCCCAGCACAGCTGGTTCTACGTTGGTCCCTCTCCACATATATCCTACCTGGATAACTGGAAAAGCACCCCCCAGCCGCTAATTTATTGGTCCATGGCACTTCACAGCCAGGACTTGCCTCCCATCTGCATCCTTCTCCAGGGATTCTCCTCTTTCCCCAACCTGCTGAAGCAACAGCTCCCCACAGTCCCGTGCAGCAATCCTGGCTTCCCTCCGATCCTGCTGCTTCCACAGGGATTTACAGCCAGGTTGTCTGCTGCAGCTCGTCTGGCCAGGATCCCCTCCGGAAGCTTTCCTGGGGGTCTCACGGAGAGCTTGGAAAGCCGCATCCGTGCCCCTGGCTCTCCTCCCTGCCTCCCTGCCCTGCGCCCAGGGACGCGAAGCGGCTCCCCCAGCGCTCCTTCCTTGGAAGCGGCGCTGCCTTGGGCTGCGTCCCAGTGCCTGGGGGAGAGATGCCGCCTGCACAGAGCACGCGGGGCAGTGACGGGTCGGCTGGAATGATCCTGGGAATACGTTACTGCGAAGGGAATTGCTGTGACAGAAAAAGGCTGCCCGAGATAAACAGGAGCCCGACAGCAGCCCCAGATACAACTTTCCCTGCGGAGACTCCCAAACACAACTTATCAAAAATCCCTATTAGCGCCTGGGCATTTGTCTAAGTAACCCTCCGAGCAGAACGTTCCTCCCTTTGGATAACGCTCCGGAAGGCGCTGGAGCCGGGGAGCTGGAGGGCTCTAATCCGTTTGTACACAGCCGGGATGCCTGGCATTGCAGCGAGCCGCGGCTCCCGGCCCGGCTCCCAGCCCAGCTCCCAGCTCAGCCACTGCCCCAGAGCTTTGCCTTTTATGGTTCCCCGAGCTGGGAAGCATCCCGAGGCAGGATGCAGGAAAACACCTGATGGTCCCAAAGAGGTGCCTGCAGAGGCACCTCCGTGGTGCCGGGGCTGAGTTACCCCAGTGCCACCCTAAGAGCTGGCAAACAGCCCCCAGGACCTGCCTGCTGGCCCCAGGCCAAAGGCATCCCCTGATATTCCATGGGGCTGGAAAATCCTACCAGCACCTCCATCCAGACCCCCAGGGATCCTGGCAGCCCTCTGAGCACTCCCACAGGCTGCGTGAGTGACATGTGGGCCCACGGTCACGATGCCACCACCTTGTCCCTGTCCCATGATCCATTTCAGGAGCCAGTCCTGGCTGCTGCTGAGGGGAAGGAGTGAGGGATGACGGTTATCCCAGCCCTTATCGGCCTGGAGCCAGACAGGCCCCTCATGGGGACAGTTCTTTATCAATGCACATTGCAGAGCTGCTCTGCAGCGAGACAAAACCCCATTTGTTACCACTGGAAGTCTCAGATCCCTGCCTAGGCTGCCAAGAGCAAACACAACTGATTCCCAGCAGGATTGGGACCAGCAGCTGGGCTCCCGATGCTCTGGCATGAGGGGGACCTGGCAGCATCAGTTCTGGCAGGTAGAGGAATGCTAAGCAAGATGTGCTGACAGGTGTGTGAGTGAGGAATTTCAGAGCCAATCTGTCACCTGAGTGAGATGAACTCACTCAGTGTTGGCACCATGACCTGATCAATAATTCAGGTGTTTCCCCTTGAGCCCTTGGTTCCCCATGGCAAAGCCAAATTCATTCCGGGCTTCTCACAACCCCTTGTGATTTGGGGGTATCTTGGTGGGTTTGGCTTGTCCTGTGTGAAGGTCACAGAGCCCAGGGTTGGTGTGGAACAGGCACGTCCGGGCCCTTGGGTGTGCCCTGGGTGTTCCAGTGAACTCTCAGAGCTGTGACACGGCTCTGATGGTTCTGCTCCTGAACCCTCTGCATAAAAGGCAATGGCAGCTGCTGCAACGTCGCCACTGCCCCATCTGAGAAAGGAAGAGACTTTTAGGGAATGTGCAACAAGGCTGGAGCAAACCCGGCCGGCAGCACAGCCTGGGCCATGCCCGCTGCAGGAACCGGCTCCTCTGGCCTCGGCAGCACCGACCTGCAGCTTCTGCTGAGGAAAATATTTACATTTCCACCTCTCCAGAGGCCAGTGCGGCTGTTCCGCCACAGCCCAGAGGGAAGGGATATGGAGGCATCGCCCTGGGGCTGCAGGAGAACCTCTGCCGGGCAGCAGCTTCTCTGCTGCAGTCACTGCTGCTGGGGACGTGCAGCAGCAACCCTGGGAGTCCTTCCTGTGCCTTCTGTGTGTGCTACAACCTGCGCCGCTCACCGGCCAAACCTCATCTTTTTGCCCAAAAACATCATTAAAGTATCTGCTCACCACCAAACCCTACATGGAGCTGGGAAACGCTGCCAGCAAACCAACTTCTTCCCATCAGAGGGTCCTTGAGGAGAGACCACTCAGCTCCTTTCCGATAGCACTCAGTACCACCTGTAGCTCCTTCAGGCAGGAGGGACTCGCACCTTCCCACCACCCCAGTTCCCAACCAGGAGGGCGCCCAGTGCCAGGCTGCCCCTCTGCCATGGCCTGCCCAGGGCAGCTCCACACTCAGCATCTCCTCTCACCAGCGGGGCTATAAATAAACCCTCCACAGTCGCCAGAGAGAAGTTGTGTTGCTCCAGATGTTGCCTGGTTTTGCCATAGCAACATCACAACAGGATGGAACAAACTGCTTTGAAAAGAACCAACTTTCAATCAAAACAAGACTAAGAAAATTCCCAGGGACTCACCGGCAGCCCAGGCACCCTCCGGCCATCCTGTGCTCCTGGCCTGTGGTGTCCCTCACACAACCTCCCACACCCACCTCGGGAGCTGGGAACAGCTCCGTGGGGAGGCTCTGCCTTCAGGAAACCAAGCTGAGCAGGGAGGTATGTCTTGTGACCCAGCCAAGGGATATGTGAGTTAAATGGGCCAACAGCAAACTGACCCCAAAATGGCGTTGGTGAGCGACAGGCTCTGTCCCAGGACCTCAGACACACCAGTGGGAAGCTGTTGTCTCCCCATCCAGAGCTCCAGGGCTCCCAGCTCAGCGTGAGCTTCCCAGCATTGCTGTGGCTCAGCACTGGAGAGAGTTAACCCCGGGCTGTACGAGCTGCACACACACACAGGCACACGGTCCCGCTGTTTTCCTTCCTCCGCCATCATGTCAGCACGTCTGGGCAAATCTGGGAAGGCCTTGACCCCCAGCCAAGTGCTCCATGCCAGGGTCCCTGTCCTCCACCAGGGCAGGACAGAGCTAGTTCCCTGGTGCTTCCCCTCACCATGGCAGAGCTGCTCCCACACCTGAGATCCACCTCTCCACCAGGGACACCCTCAGGTGGAGGAGACCCAAACCCTCTCAAGCCCACCCCAGGGAGCCCAGGGCTGTGTTACCTCAGTCACTGAACTCATTCCATGACTCCATGCCCCGAGCTCCAAGCACGGAAGGAGTTGGAAAATTAGCATCGGGAAGTGCCCACCTCCAAAAAAAGCCGCAAAACTCATTGCATAAGGAAACAAAAAAACTTTATTTTATTCCTCACAAGAAGCACATAAAATATTCAGGACATTCTTACAAACAAAAGTAAAAAAAAAAAGTGCATGATGCATCATTCCCTCCCGCGGACGTACAGTACAAAAATCCCGCCGATTCCAATACGAAACCGGGATTCGAATTACCACGGAATTAAAGGAACCTTGTAATCATGGAGGACAGCAATGCACAGGAACAGCTACATATTACTCACCCCCCTCCTCACAGGCTGACTAGGACGGGTCCTGCTGGGACACAGCCGAGCCAAACCCCACCTGCACGGGAAGGACCCCCAGGAGGTCGGGCACTGCCACCACACGGACCAACAGCACCTGGACTGGGAATAAGGTGCCAGTTTGTGCATTTCAGGATTCCCGGCAGGACAGGATTGGGTTTGGATCTGCCGAGCAAAGCACAGCCGGTGATGGGAAGTGTCCCCGCACACCCCACTCCTGTTTCGGCAGCAATGCATAGATAAACGGGATAAACAGGATAAATGGGGATAAACAGGGACACCAGGAGCAGCCCCCAGCTGTCCTTTGGTTCTGCCATACCCAGAGGGAAGCGGTAGCAGGTGAGCAGTGCTGAGCTCAGCAAGGATGGGAGGGTGGGATGCGGGGGGGGGGAATGGTCTCACTGCCACCAGAAACACCAAAAGCACCAAAAACTCCCCAAAGAACAGCAAACAGCAGAGTTGAACAGCTCAGCAGATACACAGTGTTTGTAAACTATGAGTAAGGCACTCTGTTGTAAGGACACGTGGGGAGGACGAGTACATCGACCTTCTCATGCAACAAACCCAGTGGGACCACACATGGTGCAGGTTTGGCTACAAACCCCTGGGAATGGCACAGCTGCTTCCAGGCCAGCTCCCACTGAATCCTGACTCTATCCCATGACACAGTGAGGGAGCCCAGGGTCCAATGAGGGAAGAGTGGGGTTGATCCAGCAAGAGCTGAGTGGGAGCAGCAGCAGGGGAAGGTGGAGGGAGCCGAGCTGTGCCCCGAAATGAGGGGGTTGGGTCGGACACGGTGGGTTGGATGTGGCAGAACTCAGCAGGCACTCGAGAAACAGGAAGGAAATCACATGTTCACCTGCAGCAGTTCATGGAACCTTCTGAAATTATTCAAATCCGACCCTGCACCTCCTCCCTCAGCCGGGCAGGGATGGGAAGGGTTGGCAGCACAGAGAAAGGTGACCCTGCTGTGGTCACACCCAGGGGTTCACTGGGCAGCAGCCCCTGAGGCTCCCCCAGATGCCACTCTGAGCCCCATGGGACCTCTCGTCTGCCCTTCCCAAATCCCAGT